TGAGTCATATAGGAACTGTTAGACTACCATTTGGCCTCTTTCTGTACAATGTCCTCCTGGTACCGAGTTTTTCTTTTAACCTAGTGTCAGTAAGCAGACTCACACATGACTTCCCTATTTTCTTACATTTTCAATATGATTTTTGCCATATTCAGGACCTTCTAAACAAGAGGACGATTGGTTTAGCAAAAGAGTTTAAGGGCCTCTATCAACTTACCTTCACAAACCAGCCATCAACACACCAAGTTCCATACCAGAGTCAAGCTGCTAGTGCATTTAATTTCCTTCCCCAACAAGTAGATATGTGGCACTGGAGATTAGGGCATCCTAGCAATGATAGGCTTAATTTGTTACACCATAGTGACCCTACTGTAACAGATTCAAAAGTAGATCATTGTTCAATTTGTCATTTCTCTAAACACAAAAGACTACCTTTTCCTGTAAGCACAAGTAATGCAGCTAGGCCATTTCAGCTTGTTCATGTTGACATATGGGGATCTTTATCAGTTATGTCTTATGATGGATATAATTACTTTCTTACTTTGGTTAATGATTGTTCATGGGTTGTTTGGGTGTATTTGATGCATAACAAAAGTGAGGTAAGAGAACTTCTTAAAGGGTTCTGTTACTTGGTCAAGACTCAGTTTGATAGTAAAGTTCAGATTATCAGAACAAACCAGGGAAAAGAGTTCAACATGTGTGATTTCTTCATGTCTGAAGGCATTGAACATCATATGTCGTGTGTATACACACCAGAACAGAATGCTAGGGTGGAACGTAAACACCAGCTTTAATTGAATGTAGCAACATCATTGAGGTTTCAGTCTGGGATTCCATTAGAGTTTTGGAGTGACTGTGTTTTGCATCTGTTTACCTGATAAGTAGAATTCCAACCTCTCTTCTCCACAATGTTTCTCCCTATGAAATCCTCTACAACAAACCTCCATTCCTAGGCAATCTAAAGGTTTTTGGATGTTTAGTGTATGCTGGCACACCTGCATCTGGTCGAACCAAATTTTCTCCTAGGTCTAGACATTGTATACTGTTGGGTATATCACCTGGAGTAAAAGGCTACAAACTACTGGATATCCACACTAACTAGGTCTTGATCTCCAGGGATGTAGTCTTTTATGAGTCTATCTTGCCTTTCAAAACTGAACCTTCCACATCTCGAGGTTCCTCTTCCACTGTTGAGCCAAATCCTCCTGATCCAAGTCCACCTCCTGATTTAGTCATTCCCAGCACTTCTTATTCTCAACCTCCACTGTCTCCTGAAACAGAGCTTGAACCTCAACAGGATTATGAACCACCAGCCAGGCCCAAACGCAGTTATCACTTACCAAGTAAGTTTGATAACTGTGAGCTGGATCTTGCTTTGAAATTTGGAGCTTTTAGAAATACAGCATCTGTCAGCAGGTACCCTATAGCACTAAATGTTGATCATTTGAATGCTACTGACAAGATATATGCTTTAAGCATTATCCAACCGGAGGAACCACTAAGTTAACAGGAGGCTAACAAGCATGAACATTGGACAAGAGCTATGAGAGAAGAGTGGGACTCACTTGAAGAGAATCAAACGTGGGATATAGTTCCATTACCTTAAGGGAAGAAGGTAATTGGGAATAAATGGGTTTACAAGATTAAACTAAAGCAGGATGGATCCATAGAAAGATTCAAATCCAGGCTGGTAGCAAAAGGGTATACTCAGGTTTATGGAATTGATTTTTTAGACACTTTCTCACCTGTAGCCAATATCAATTCAGTTAAAGCTTTACTAGCAATTGCAGCTGTCAAAAACTGGAACTTGGAACAGATGGATGTGTCAAATGCTTTTCTCCATGGAGACTTGCATGAAGAAGTATACATGCAATTGCCACCAGGATTACATTTGGAATAAAATGGACCATAGAATATGGTTTGTAGGCTCAAGAAATCTTTGTATGGGCTAAAGCAAGCCTCAAGGCAACGGTTTGCCAAACTGAGTAGTTTTCTACTTAAGAATTGTTTCAGTCAGTCTGCTTCTGATTACTCTTTGTTTACAAAATGAATTCGTGGCAGGATTGTTGTGTTGTTGATATATGTAGATGACATTATCATAGGAGGGGATGCATTGAAGGACATAGAACAGGTGAAGAAGGTTCTAAGTCAGGAGTTCAAGATGAAACTGCTTGGCCCTTTGAAGTACTTTCTGGGTTTGGAAATCAATAGAACAGCTGGTGGGATAAGTGTATGCCAAAGAAAATACTGCCTTGAACTGCTGAAAGAAACAGCCTATCTGGAGTCTAAGGGGTGTCAAACTCCAATTGACCCTAAAGTTAGGTTGTCTGCAAATCAAGGAACACCCCTATAAGATTCTGAGCAATCTAGAAGGTTGGTAGGGAGGCTGCACTACATCACCATAACCAGGCTAGACTTGGCATTTGCTGTACAGTAGCTGTGCCAATTCCAGAAAAAGCCACATGAAGAACATCTACTGGCTACTGTACCTTCTTAGGGCAAGGGATTCACTTTGACAGTGGGGCAGAGTTAAAGTTAACAAGTTTTTGTTATTCAGACTGGGCAAATTGTCCAGATACAAGGAGGTCTACTACTGGCTACTGTACCTTCTTAGGAAGGTCACTGCTCACCTGGAAAACCAAAAAGCAAACCACTGTATCAAGATCATCTTCAGAGGCTGAATACAGAGCTTTGCCAATGGTGGTATGTGAAGTGCAATGGCTAAAGGGATTGCTGGAAGAGTTGAGTGTGCAGATTCCATTGCCAATCACTGTCTATTGTGATAACAAATCAACAATTTACATAGCTGAGAACCTTATTTTCCACGAAAGGACTAAACACATCGAGATCGACATCCATGTAGCTAGAGAAATGATCAAAACAGGTCTGATAAAGTTGCAGCATGTCAATACAGTGAACCAACTAGCAGATGTCTTTACTAAGGGACTGGAACAGGCTAGACTTAAGGATCTGCTAGTCAAGTTAGGAGCTATCCTACCTTCCACAACTTGAAGGGGGTGACAGAATCCTAGCTTAGAGCAATCCAAATGATAGAAGGATTACAAGAGAAGAAGAAGTATTCGGTTGAAGACTGGAGCAGAAGAAACGTTTCTATCACTGAGCGTTTCTTATTAAGTAGTCATTTGATCTAAGGTGCTGCGACACCGTTTAGCTCTAGTTGTATTAGCCGTTAATCACTGTTTATCTTTTAAACGCAGCCAGTGTAAAGATGACACATGGAAAACACCTGTAATCCAAGTTACAAAGCTGAATATAAAACAGAGAAGCTGATCTGCAGCCTCTGTAAGTTTTCGACCACATTTCTAACCTAAATCCAGAAGTTGTTTTCTTTTTCCTCCCCTTCGATTGCGTAGCTGTAGTTGGACCGGATTGATTAACGCATTGTCTGATTATGGCGAAGTTGAGGAAGTGCTCTGTTTTTTGTGTTGTTGCAGGCGAATCCCGGGACTCGGAGGCAGCAGCCTATGGAGAACCGAAGACGACCGGAGGCAGCTTTGCTCTGCCGGAGACTGCGGAAGCCGAGGAAGAGAAAGGGAAAAAATCGGAAAGGACAAGTGTGCTCGCCAGACTTCTCGTTGATTCCAGAGAGAGAGAGGCTTTCGTCGGCAAAACATGTTGGGATGACGCGAGGCTGGAGCTTATAGCTATAATAATGGCTACGGTGGTGAGCAACAACGGGGGGAGGCGAGGAATATTATAAGGGGAGCAGAGTGATCGTGGTTGACCAGAACGACGGCAGGGATTCCGTCATTGATCGGTGGATGGCGACCATCCGGGTCTCTCCGCCGACGTAGCGGGGGAGATTGTGGTGCTGGCTGATAATTATTTTTTAATTTAATTATTTTTTATTAAATAATTAATATGATAAATCATATAGACAAAGTAAGTGAAATGATGTTGTGGAAAATAAATTTATTTTTTTATTTTTTTAAATTTTCACGTCATTTAGTTAACGGTCAAACTTTATAGTTGACTGCCATGTAGGACAAATTTAACGAAGTGTAACGGCCGGTGAGTAACGGTGAAACGATTCATAAAGTTAGTGGCGGATAAGAATGAAAAGTAATTCTGGTGGCAAACGTGAAAGATTTGTATAATTGGAGTGACCAAACATGTAATTTAGCCATTTCCTAATGGTTAAGATGCATAAGTTAATTGGGTTCTAGACAAATTGACAAGTTGTGGGAAAATCATTGAGTTGTTAATGATTTAATTTAGATGTTATTTTGAGTGATCTCAATAATCTTAAAAAACGTCGCATACTTCCATCCGGTCTCGAAATCCTAGCTCACGAGGTTAGCGTAGTGCACATTTGTAGAAAACAACATCTGGCTGACTTCCTAGCCAATAAGGGACAAACAATCCCAACATAATTTTTTTTTTAGATAATGATGAAAATAGTATCAACTGAGAAGAAAAAAAAAAGAAGAGTATAGCAAATCAGGTGATTCATAAGAGATGAATCACCCAGAAAAAACAGAATAAACATCACAAAATAAAAAAAAATAAAAAAAACAAAACAAAACAAAAAAAGTCCAAAAACCAACAAGAATGCCAGAAATTCAAACATAAAATTTCGTTTATTATTTCACTGAACCTGTGTGTTGTCATAGGTTATTTCACGATGTATTGCACCCGCACCCTGCCTACTAAGCATGTATATAATTTACCGTATTTGTAACCAATTTGGTCAAGAAACACACGTAGGTGTTAAATGGTTACCTTGGTAATAACCAAACCAATTAAGTTTAAATTTCATTAATCATTGAATAAAATGTCTTAACCAAACCGTCCAAATTAACACGAAAACCAAATTAACCAAACCAAAGTTTAATTGGTTTGGTTAATCGGATAATCGGATTAACCAAATAACATAACATTATATGAAAACAATTATCTTGTTAATGAATAAACATAACCATATGTTGTTACTATCATAAACTATCATTATATATAAGCAATAATAATAAGACTAACCATCCATGATTATCAATTTATCATCACCATTCGAGTTAATATATCATTCATCATCTCTGCACCTAATATAGTTAGATTGCAACAAATCCCTTAACACAAAAATATACCAATACCCCTCACCAGGAAGTTAAAGCTCTTCTACAAAACACTTAAACTATTCATAGTTTGAAGTGGCTGTCATGATATTGTACATAATCTAAAAGTCTAGTAGCTGTCCAAAATGTTTCGGTTTAGTAAATAGACAGACTCATTTAATTTTTGACCCATAATGTTTTGGTATGTCGTGCACATGGAAATAAAATATGGAATCACGAAAATTTGGTTTGGCTGGTTGCATGGATGTATAAATAATTTTGTATATTAGGTGTATCATTAATTGGTTAATTGGTTCCACTGGTTAGAAGTGTTGAAACCAAACCAAATCACCTAAACCACATAAGCTAAATTGTTTAACCAAACCAAACCAATTATCCAAATTAACCAATCCAAATTAACCGAATACGACCGGTTAATATGGTTACCCCGGTAACCAATCCTTTTGAACACCCCCTACAAATATACAATCTAGAAATGGATAAGTGATACACGATACACAGATGTGTTCGTTTAAAACCAAGGTTGTCAATCCGCGGGTCGACCCAATTTGACCATGACCCGGTAAAAAAATGGGACGCACGCTCCCGCCGGGTCGACCGCTACAAGGTACCTGGTTGGAGGTCAAATTGTGTCATTTTTTTCTTTGTTTTGAGAAATACGCCTATTTTCCGATTTTTCTTTTCGCCTAACTCAATCTTTGGAATCCTAAGTTGAACATTTGAATATTAATGTTATATAAGTGTGTGTGAATTCACTATATATTGAATCTAAGTACGAAATGTTATTTTGGTGTAATATTATATGTTATAAGTCATATGTTAGATGAGATTTGATATAATTTATCAGGATAAGTACAATATAATTACTTTTTCCATATTTCTGGGCTAAAACGGGTGACCCATTAACCCTTGACCCACTAGTTCAACGGGGTCCGGGTCAACCCACGGGTTAACAACCTTGTTTAAAACAAATGATGTGTACCGTCCTAATACAATTTCTGTAGTACAGACAAAGGACCCGAAAATTGTCCGTCTTAATTAAGTGCCCAAATGTGAATTAGGTGGTAATTCGGTATGTATGCCAAAGCGTCACTGAGTGAGTCATGAGAGCATTCAAGTGTCAAGATGGTCAGTGTTCTTAATAGCACTGAACCGTGACCGTCCATGCGACCATGCCCACAACATTAACATTCAACTGCTGCTGTCTCTATCAAAATGGAATTGGTGTAGAAGCAGCTGCTTACGCTTCTCCTCTAGCTTCCACATGAGTAGCGGCATCGCAAGGTGCAAAAAATTCGCTTGGGCGGCCATAAGTCTAATCACAGTTCACACCATGCCAGAACTCCTGAAATGCTGCAGACCAATAGCACATGTACCAGTTATGAAGCGTACCAGAGCAGACTCACAATGGCAGAAGAAATGGAAAATGCTGGTATTCACAAGACACTTTTCCCGGTTCTGGAAGGGAAAAAAAAAAAAAAAAAAACAATTCAGGACCACAATCACTGCAAATCAAGCTCACAAATTCGAAGAGTAAGAAAAGCAGTGCAAATACCAATTGGGTTTACAAGTTGCCAGAATCAATGCTGCTGGGTCTACCGGGATAGCTCTCCTTCCATGCCTTCCAGGCGCTCCTAACTTGATCTAATTCTGCATCCGGTATAGGTGTGTGTTCATCCAGCTTCTCCACCCATTCCAACCAAGGAGAACCAGATGGATCCAAAAACTGAGACACTTTTGGCAACATTTTGCTAGTGTAGAATTCATCGACTCCCCTTTGAATTTCTTCTGATTCGGCCAATGCCTGCATCTCGGGCCGTGTCCCTTCTCGAGCTTTTCTCCTCAGCGAGTAATTGCTTCCCCTCAAAATCAGAACTTCTGAAGGAGCAAGCGGCAGTACAATCCTTGAAAATTTTGCCAGTGACAATGTTAAGATGTCCTTTGGGAGCAGCCCACGTTTTACTGCTACTGCAGTTCCAACCATTTTCCGGATCTGATGAAAAAGCATAACAAATGGGAATTGGTCTACTACTTTTATTAAACTCATTTTATAAATGTAGCTCTGAACGACATGTTTAATTACCTGGTGCAGCATGAAAGACTCCCCCCATATAGAAATCTCAACAAAGTCATGTCCAGATGATTTCTCCAGCTCTCTGCATGAACAGTGAATAATCCTTCTGAAGTGTGGAGCACCTATTCTGTCTCTCACATCAGGTTCGTGTAGCCATCTTGCACGGACAGCAACACCTGAGCTCTGATCCTTCAACAGATCACCACTTTGACTAGAAACTGCTTCAGAGTGATCTAAAGGAACATTGCCGTCAATGCCACACATTTCTTCTTCTTCTTCTTCTTCATCAGTTTCATGGTCACTATCCGAGGATAGTATCTGAACAGATGATCGGTCTCCCTCTGAGAAATGTCCAATTTTCTCAGGTGGTCTGTTTCGACGACTTTTTCTCCTGTATTTTGCTCGGACCGTATAGTTATGAAAAGGATGATCACCCTACAAAGAGCATCCAAAACTATAACACAGGCAACTTCTATCACAACTCCAATCCTCTTTGGAATCTATTATCCAATTAAAAGATGGTTTAAATAAATTCTCATGGGAGAGCCAGTCAATTAGGTTTTGCACTGACGAGCTCATATTTGACTAGAAACAGCAAAAAGGAAAAGAGAAATGGTACCTCAAAGGTATTTAGCATCTTCCTGAAGTCTGATATGTGCTCATTAATTTCAGCCGAAGTAGAAAAGCTTTTGATACCAATAATCTCAGCGGGAAGAAGGTACGAATATTTCCTCAAATCACACTCCATTCTAGGATCAAAGCTTCTGCATGTAAGTATCAAGAATCAGAGTGCTGTACTACGTAACATCGAAACGGCACAACTGTTGAAAGAATCAGTCTGCTGTAACAAGAAGCCATTCTCAAACATTAAAATCAACACACAATCCTATTATTAGGATCAACACTGTAAGAAAACAGCTAAAGGACTAACTTCTGAGCAGGTAGAATGCTGAAAATTCTGATGCTGTCTGGAAGATTAGAGTTAACCGTCCTAGCAAGAACAATGCCATAAGGATCCTCCTTCCATGCATTCTCTGGTATCTCCAGTTTCATCGAAATTGTTGTAGCCAACGAATGGACCTAATTCAGCAACAAAAGCAATTGGATGAATATACCATGAGGCAAAATGGAATAGTTGATCAAACAAACTAAACGAAAGTGAAAATGCCAAGAAAGTAGTTATTCATAAAGCTCACTCCTTTATCTGTACGGCTGCTTCTAGCCCATCCAATTTTGCTTAAATGCCCATAATTGCTCTCACGAATCCCGCCAGCTTTGAATATGGCATCTTCCAGCTCTGATTCAATGGCTACAAAACCCAAAATCCCCATAAAGATTCATCCTTTCTCAAACAACATAAGCTGGAGCTTTCTTAAGTTGGAATTGGAGACGATTCATTAGCAATTCCTAAGAAGGCTCAGTAGAACTCACTAGACAACGAATGCTCATCGTATTGCTTCTGTAGACCTCTATAATTGGTACCAACATAGCCAACTCGCAGAACAACTTTCTTCTTACGGAAAGGTTCCCACTTTTCAGCAGAGGAATGGTGGTCCTGACTTGGGCTTGACACAGTATGAACTTGAGTAGCAGCTAACGGGGACAAATTGTAACAGTAGCAGCATACTGTGGCAAGTGAACTAGGTTTGGATGGCAATGCTACAGGTGAGAGTTTAACGGAGCTCTGGTAAGTCTTGACAAGCCATGGGGAAAGCGAGTATCTCATGGTAAGCATACTTCCAGGAAATGTAGATGCAACTCCGCCTGTTGAACAAATTGCACCGAAGGGTAAAGGTAACAGGTAAGAGCAGTCTCCAGAAGGAAGTATTACACAAAACTAACAATCACTGAGCTGCGACTCGATTAACTTGCTAACAGTTGTGAACTCCTGAATCTAGTTCTGCTAGTCTCTAAGCAATCAGTAGCAGACTCGCAGGCGAATGAACATTGAACACCAACTCTGTCGAGCATTTCATCAAACACCTGGTGTACGGTTTCGGAGCTCCCATACTGGCAACAGTTGCACAGACCAGCGGCAGAAAAAGAAAAGACTAGATGGAAGCAGAAGAAGAATGAGACTTCGCAGCAATTTACCGGTCGCCAGTTGCGAGCTTCACTTTCGCTATCCGGAGACTGAAGAAGCAGAGCAGACGATAAAGCGCTCCCGGCGAGATGGAGAAAAGAAAGAATTCCGATATCGCAGTCCACGAGTGCAAAATGGTCCAAGACGGTGCCGTTTACCGGTTCTGTCGTCGTTGCCATTTTCTTACCTTGTTGCCCGGCGGGCCCATCTCAACAACTTTTATTTAATTTTAGCATTACTTTTTGTTTTTGTTTTGCATAGTGTATGCTCTGTCTTTCCTTCTATCTCCAATTTGTCTCGTCCGATTTTATCTTCTCCTTCCTTCCCAATCCTCGGCTCCTCGCTCACTGTACACTTCGTTAAACCCTACAAATCTCATAGAGTAGAGCCTCTTCTACAAATCTGGAAATCTTCACATCCGCTAATCTCCGGAGGGATTGAAGAAGCTTCGCGGCGGCGGCGATAATGAATCCCGCTATGTTATCCGTCACTCCGTCTTCTTCCTCTTCTGCCTCCACGCCGGCGCTGTTCTCACCTTTCATCAACCCTTCGCCACTCCGTCTCACTCCCTCGTCTCTCTCTCTCCCCTCCCGCCGGCGTGTTAGGGTATCCGTCCCTCGTAACTCGGCCGATGTGTCGCCGCCAGATGACTCGGCTGCTTCCGCTGCACCGCCCGCCACCACCACCAGTGTTTTCGGAGAGAGGAAGGAGTTGACCGGGATTCAGCCCTTGGTGGATAGCCTTTCTCCGCCGCTCAGGTTGGCTAGCTCCGCCGTAATCCTGGCTGGAGCTGTTGCGGCCGGGTATGGTTTGGGGCTGCGATTCGGCGGGAACCGCAATTTAGCTCTGGGTGGGGCGGCTGCTATGGGCGCTGCCGGTGGAGCCATGGTGTACGCGTTGAATGCTGCCGTTCCGGAGGTTGCAGCCGCGAGTTTGCATAATTATGTTGCCGGTTTCGATGATGCCGGAGCTGTTAAGAAGGAGGAAATTGAACAGATTGCCAAAAAGTCAGTGCCTTCCTGTTGTGCTTTTCACAGTTATTTACATTTCCTGATTATCCTGCGTTCCCTTCATTCTTTAGATTACCGTAGTCGAGATTTGGCGAGTTTTGAATTTTGGGGTTTCAATGTTGAAAATTTCAGATATGGTGTGAGCAAAACAGACCAAGTATTCAGTGCAGAACTTGCAGAATTATACTGCCGGTGAGTTCATATAGCCTGTCCAGGATGAACATGGTTGTTTCTAAGTCTCAGAGCTAGTTTCACTATGACCAATGCATTGAACGCTTGTTTGTTCTAGATTTGTTTCCTCTGTTCTACCTCCTGGGAGTGAAGACCTTAAAGGCAATGAGGTTGAAACGATAATCAACTTCAAGAATGCTTTGGGGATTGATGATCCTGATGCAGCTGCTATGCACATGGAGGTACTGCATCATCATACAATGGTTTTTCATCTTGATAGATAAAATGGATATGTTGAAGATTGAGTTTGTGCATCTTAGGGAGCTTTGGATTAACTTGTCATTATGATTCTTGGCCTATAGATTGGTAGGCGCATTTTCAGGCAAAGGCTTGAAACTGGCGACCGTGATGGAGACGTTGAGCAACGCCGGGTAAGTCATTAGCAAGTGTTTTACTCTTTGTTGTAGTTGAAATGTACTTGAGATTTATAGATTTTCCCTCAAATTGATGTATGGTACTTGATCATTTTGTACTAATTTTCCAGTGCAGGCATTTCAGAAGTTGGTCTATGTTTCATCTCTTGTTTTCGGGCAAGCATCGTCCTTCCTTTTACCTTGGAAGAGGGTGTTCAAGGTCACTGATTCACAGGTATTGGCTCATTCTTGGTTACTAGTTCATGTCTGCTTGGCATTTTGCATATATGGTTAATGTCTGGATGTCATCATCCCATAGTTTCTCTTATTTTAATATGTTATCTTTGGCGGATGTTTTTTATTTATTTATGTTAATTGTTTCCTTGATTTGTTGCAACATTATCACTGTTTAATGCTTTTTCCAGGTTGAAATTTCTATCCGTGATAATGCCCAGAGATTGTATGCTTCGAAGCTAAAATCAGTTGGTAGAGGTAATTGCAACAATTGTTTCGTGTCTCCACAGTACTTGTTTCATGCTTTTTTCCCCTCATTTTCATTGCAACTATTGAGCGGGTTTTCAACATTGATCTGTTTGTATGTTGTCCAATTATGTATGTCCGTTTCGGTTGTCCACTAGATTAAGATATATCTACCGACCAATTGAGGATCAGGTATGTAGAAGGGAAAATGTGCTGTTTCTTATTGAGCAAGGATAAAATCCTGCCTGGTTAAACACAAGCTTAATTAATGCATTCCTGAATGAAGCAAATTGCGTGCTTAGATGCTCTTCATGTTCAATTTGATGAATATTCTTTAGCATCTGCTGTTCTGAAGTACTTGTACACTTTTCATGGGAAACTATTATAGATTTTGACCTCATTTGGATTGCTTGCTTATGCCATTATCTTACTGGAATGATCAGTCGTTGGGCTTGTTGTCTCTTGTTGTGCTTGAAGAGGAAACTAACATGTTTTGTTTAAGGAATACAGATATTAGGGCATCATGGTTATCCAAATGGAAAGTTAATTTAAGGGACTGTGAATGATTTTCTATCTACGCTTCAGTTTGTTGAAATAATGTTTGGATTGTTGCTGGCAGTTGCCTTTTGTTAGCAACTGTGTGCTTGTTTCTTATCTTCATCTTGGACTTAAGACATTTGAGCAGTTTCAGGATTAATATTTTTCTCTTTTCCTCTCTTCATTTTTTCAGATATTGATGCAGGGCAGCTTGTGAGCCTCAGAGAATCACAACTTTCATACAAACTCTCTGACGAGGTACTTTACAGATTGTCTGTGTTTCTTGTGATTAGCAAACTTTTATTTAAAGAATGTTATGCTTCATACAGCTGGCTGAGGACTTATTCCGGAACCATACAAGGAAGCTGATCGAAGGAAACATATCTGTTGCACTTGATATTCTGAAGACTAGAACAAAAGCAGCGTAAGATCAAAATCATCCAACTTAAATGTTAGCATGTTTCAGTTTGGCTCCAAAAGTTACTGGTGTATGGATTTTCCCATATCTGATAGTGCTTAAAATATTTTAACCAACTATTACCATCTGTATCACGATGGAATTAAGACATTAGGTTTCTGATTAACTAAATAACGATGAATGTTATTTTACAGCACTGGATTGAAGCAAGTAGTGGAAGAAATTGATGTCATTCTGGCATTCAATGATAAACTTATTTCTCTGAAAAACCATGCTGATGCTGATCGTTTTGCTCGTGGAGTCGGTCCAGTGTCTGTACTAGGTATTTTGCTTGGCGAACTCTTTCTTTCTTTGATTCCAGTATACCTATGGTGCATAAGCTCAAACATACTATGGTGATTTTGCTCAGGTGGTGAGTATGCTAGTGACAGAAAAATGGATGACTTGAAGCTTCTATACAGAGTATATGTCACAGATGCTTTATCTGGTGGTCGGATGGAAGACAGTAAGGTGAACCTTGTTACGGATGGCAGTCTTTTCCTGTTTCAAGCATGTTTGTATTGTATCGGGATAGCAATAGTATAACCTCTCAGATCATTAGTTTATTTCGATGGTACTGTCTATATCCTTATAAATGATTAGATGCTGTGTTTGGTTACTGAAACTCTATGAGCGACCTACTAGATTCTTATGTAAAGCAGTGTTATTTTATTTGAATGTGGTTGTGGGAATTTTGAGAGTTTTCTGGTCGAGCTCATTAAGAAAGAACCATTTATATTGCTTTAGGATCTTTTGGTATACCATTGGTTGGACTTCTGTGCTGAAAATCTGCTCATCGTCTAGTTCGAATTGTGCTTTTTTTTCTTCAAATTTGTCATTAAAATTAAATCATTTTTTTTTTGTTAACAGGAAAAATAAGTTGGAAATATAGGGATTCCTATTCCTTAATCACATTGAATTATGCAAATTTTGTTAATTTCTTTCACGGGATTACAATAAGTTAATTGGGCTCTTCCTGAGGTTCTTATCATACTTGTAGATGGTATTCAGGCACTATGTTATTAGCCTTGTTTTACATGGGATCTAAGCATTATTTTTCTCAGCCATGTTTCTTGGGAGTGCACTCTTCAACTTCTAGACTAGCTTAAGCATTTCCTTACGTAATATATTTTGACTGTGATATAATGATTCGACCTCTCTCCTATTTTGTAGGTTGCCTCATTGAACCAGTTAAAGAATATATTTGGGCTGGGTAAAAGAGAATCAGAGGCAATCACACTTGAGGTTACCTCAAAGGTTTACCGAAAACGACTTTCACAGGCAGTTTCTGGTGGTGATTTGGAGGTGGCAGATAGCAAGGCAGCCTTCTTACAGAATCTATGTGAGGAATTGCACTTTGATCCACTCAAAGCAAAAGAGATTCATGAAGGTAAAGAGCTTGTCTTCTCAATATGGTCTAGTACTTGGTCCATAAAATTTTCATTCTGTGGCTCTTCTTCTTTCGTGAATGACAATTGTTTCCGTTCGTTAAAGAAATATACCGCCAAAAGCTTCAGCAATGCATAGCTGATGGAGAGCTTAGTGAAGCGGATGTCAAAAGTCTGCTGCGGTTGAGAGTCATGCTTTGTATCCCAGAGCCGACCATCGAAACGGCTCATGCTGATATCTGTGGTGGCCTGTTTGAGAAGGTAAAGTTTCTTTCATTGTAAAAATTTCTGGTACGACTTGCCAACAAATGTGTACAATTAGTTGATGCCTTTTCCGAGAGGCATGTGCTTCCAAGTCATGTCTGTTTCAATTTTAAAGTTGAACAGTTGAGTTAGAACACTGTAATCTCAATTTTTTCTGTGGGTGCTATGCTCTGTGTATATGCCTGACCAGCAAAGGATTACTGTGCCTATAGCTGTAGACAATTTTGGTCTACCTTTTGTCACTCACAATTGTGTTTTTCTTGATCAGGTCGTCAAGGATGCTATTGCTTCAGGCATTGATGGTTATGACATGGATGTTAGGAAGGCTGTTAGAAAGGCAGCCCATGGGCTGAAGTTATCTCGGGAGGCAGCAATGTCTATTGCCAGCAAGGCTGTAAGTGCATGTGCAACCTTAACCTCCTGAACTTAAAATTACCTAATCTGAAGATTTCCATGTATTGATATTTTTGAGTTTCATGATTTGTGTACAGGTCAGGAAGATTTTTGTGACTTACATAAAGCGAGCTCGCTCATCGGATAATCGTACAGAATCTGCCAAAGAACTGAAGAAAATGATTGCTTTCAATTCTTTAGTCGTTACTGAACTGGTGGCTGATATTAAAGGAGAATCTTCAGATATTAAACCTGAAGAGCCTGTGAAGGTGGAAGAAAAGAAACAAGTTGATGAGGATGATGAGTGGGATGAGGAGGAATGGGAATCCCTGGAATCACTAAAGAAAGTGAAACCGGGCGAAGAACTGGATGCAAAGATAGGGAAGCCTGGGCAGTCAGAGATAACCCTTAAAGATGATCTTCCTTTGAGAGAGAGGACCGACTTATATAAAACATATTTGCTCTATTGCCTAACAGGGGAAGTCACAAGGATTCCTTTCGGTGCTCAGATTACCACAAAAAAGGATGACTCTGAATTCGTGTTCTTGAGTCAGCTGGGGAATATTTTGGGATTGACAGTCAAGGAAATCGTGGATGTACACAGGGGACTTGCGGAACAGGCTTTCAGGCAACAAGCTGAAGTGATTTTAGCTGATGGGCAACTGACAAAAGCCAGGGTTGAGCAGCTCGATGAAGTTCAGAAGCAAGTAGGATTGCCAGCAGAGTATGCTCAAAAGGTGATAAAGAACATTACCACCACGAAAATGGCAGCTGCCCTTGAAACTGCTGTTGCTAGAGGGAGGTTGAACCTGAAGCAGATACGAGAACTGAAGGAAGCCAATGTAGAGATCGACAGCATGATCTCCGAGAAGCTGAGAGAGAACCTGTTCAAAAAAACCATCGATGAGATTTTCTCTTCTGGAACTGGTGAATTTGATGAGGTGGAGGTTTATGAGAAGATACCAGCTGACTTGAACATTAATGTTGATAAGGCGAAAGGGGTGGTTCATGAACTTGCAAGTAGCAGATTATCGAACTCCCTGATTCAGGCTGTTGCACTATTGAGGCAGAGAAATCGAGCTGGAGTTGTATGGTTTCTAAACTCTTTTCTACGAATTTCGTTACTATGTTCACAGGCCTCTATAAGCATGCGGTGAAATCATCTGATCACAGCTCTCCGGTGGTCTCATTCGTGGGATAGACACAGTTGCTATTTTATAAATCATGCCACAATCATGTCGATCCAAGCGAATGAGATTGTTGGGGAGCTAAGGAACCATGCCACCCTTATAACCCCAATAGCATAGTAACCAAAACCAGACAGCCTCTTGTCATCATATGCTGACACTGTTGAATCATCTCCCAAACGTGATCTCAGCTGTTGGACCAAATTTGAAATAATGCCACCCCACGACTGGGATTGCACGGGAAGACGAGCCAACAGTGTTAGCTGGTGTACGGCCTGGCCTGTCAGCATAATAACCGAACCCCTTAGCGCATTTGTATAATGTGATAACCTGACTTTTGATTTTATGTCCTTTCTTTGTAGGTCTCGGCGCTGAATGATATGCTAGCATCAGATAAGGCTGTTCCTGCGGAGCCACAGAAGTGGGAGGTTCCGGAGGAGCTCTCTGATCTATTTACGATTTATATGAGAAGTGACCCTGCTCCTGAAAAGCTGTCTCGGTTACAGTACTTGCTGGGAATAAGCGACTCGACGGCTGCTGCACTGCGAGACGTGAAAGATCAAGTCATGTCAGTTGGAGCAGAGGAAGAAGAGTTTGCTTTCTGAAGTAGTGGAAAATTTGTGAGATAAGAACTTCTGGTTAGAAGTAGAGTTGCTGAGTTTTTTATACATTATTTTGTGTTGTATTAGTATGGATTTTGACAGCCGGCATCTTTTAAGTGGAGACTGGAGAGATTGCTGAATGAATAATGAGTTCCTGCTCGTAAGGGGCAAGTAATTTCTTTTGCAATAAAATAGTTTTGAATTTCTCCAGAGTAGTCCTATTGCTTATCAGGTACAACTTGAAACTAGTGAAAGTTAGGTTCATGTCACTCAACATTAGGGCGGATAGCCGGATACCACTTGAGTATTGCTTTCGTTGCACTTCTCACAATTTATTTTTTTGTTGTTGTTACAATAAGCCCGTTCTTAGTTGCACCAATGCAGTCAAAATCGGGATTTTGATCGTAAAATCGTAGGATTCTCATCGTGATTTTACTTAGGGTTCCCATCTTGATTTTACTATAAAATCGATGGACCTTAGAATCGTTTAAAATCGGGAATAAAATCGTTAAAATTGTAAAATCGTACAAAAATTGAGATTCTGATCGTACGAGAACAAAATAGGTGGTTTGAGCCAATTTGAAAGAAGCAAAACTGTTTCGGCGGAAAGGGCGGGATCTTCTCATATATTTTTCCTATTAAAAAATATTTAAAAATAAAAAATAACCAAATTAGGGCTCGGTCAATCCCTTTTCCTTGGTCCCTTTTAACTCATTTGTAAAACAGTTGTCCTAATATTGGAAGTACGTAAGAATTAACATTATTATTAACTAATTAATTTATTAATGAATATATTTGTATAAAGCCACTGCCATTCATTATTCTATTGGAGTTCAATTATTCTTAGTGATAGGGTATGAAGGTAAAGTATAATACTTGGAGAAGGTCTACAAGAAGAGTCCAAGAGAAACCAAGACCTAGTAACTAAGGAAATAATACCCTAGCTAATGGCATAAAGAAGGAAAGAAGACAAGAGCAAAAAGACAAGGCTGGGAGACAAGAGACAAGGTCAGGCACCTGACATCAGCAAGGACAAGGGGCAGGGGGACACCCTCTGTCAAAAAGGACCATGTACAGTGTCAGAAGGTCTGAGGCGCCCGACCACAACATTTATGGCTTGGCAGGCGCCCAGACCACTACCTAACCCTCAAATGTGTATAAATAGGAGTTCTCTCCTCATAAATGACAATCTATCTATTCTTACTATTACTTCTCTCTACTTTCTCTCTCTATATACTTCTTCTCTTTTCTTACTTCTGACGAGGCGGGGCGCCTACCCCTTCAAGGTCATGGCTGACGCCTCAAACCCCTTGGACCCGAGTGACGCCCAGTCGCCCGGGCTCAAACACTTAGTTTTTAAGTTTTAACTCGTGCTTAGTAGACGATGTAGGAATATTACTTTGAGTTAAACTATCTAAACACAATATGAAAACAAGAGTCAAACCCCACGAGCACTATCCTTTCCTCATGAATTATTTTGTGTTACGCATTAAGTAACAATGAAAATGATGATATTGGAACATTAATCTTGAGAATTATCATTTTTAAATGTTATGTGTCTTTGTGTTATTAATGAATTACCTTATTAATATTATTATATGGTATGTTCTATATGATACTTAAAATCATACGATTTTACAATCCGATTTCACGATTTCGATTTTACTCCGGTTTTCGATTTTTAGTAAAGATCCCGATTTTTACTGCTTTGGTTGCAACGTCACATTTCCTGTTCCAAACTTAATGGTGGGGTATCTTATTGCAATATTTCATGCCCTCCTCAGCTTTGATTCAATCTCAAGTCAAATTAATCCCAGCCGGCCTCCAACTTCAAGTGCAAGGCTAGGTCCAAGTACTAGTTCCCTTCCAAAGAAGACAAATCGATCTTTCAATATCCTCTCCTGAGATTGCGTCTACTCAATTGATTATGATCCCACTATCAGGGGAATGCGCAGGAATTTCACGCTCTGCGCCATTCAAACCTCCAACGGCTCTGAACAGAGACGTTGCTCTCACAGGGAAGAAGAAGGAGAGTCCACCCGACATCGTTTCATCATCACCTGAAGCAAGGAATCAAAGCGACACCGCTTCATCATCATCCGGAAAACAGAAGCAATCCGACGCCGTTCCAAAGCCAACTCAAGCAAAGACACAACGCACATGGAGTGACGTCGTTTCTGGCAAAATGCCACTTAGTCCTCAAACTTGTTAAAACTTCTCTTTTCCTTTTTCGGCTGTACTTGCTTTTCTTCCAAGCCTTGTCTTCTTACCTTGTTTTGTAAGGTTTCTGTACTGATTCACCAGCTATATAAGCTATGAAATGGAATGAGAAAGGCAGGGCTTTAGGGTTCGCTTGATCCATAACGTTGTTATGGTATCAGAGCCTGGTTCCTAGAGAACCCTAGCCACCACAAAACATGGCAGACAACGTTCAAGCTGCAGCCGAGAATGTTCAAGCCAATGTTGATCCTATGTCAGATCCTTACTACCTACATGGATATGAGCAACCAGGGTTGCTGTTGGTGGGAGAGAAACTTACCACTGCCAACTACAACGACTGGAGCCAGGCCATGTTGAATGCATTGGGAGCCAAGAACAAGCTTGGATTCATCAATGGCACCATTCCCCACCCAGGAGATGCACATCAAAATGCCTGGGCTTGGAACAGAAACAATGTTATGGTGCTGTCATGGATCCAGCAAGCAGTGGATCCCATCATCAAGAAGACCATCATGTCTTGCAAAACTTCCCTTGAAGCCTGGAGAAGCCTCAGATCTAGGTATGGTCAAGGAGATGTGGTAAGAATTGCTGAACTCACTGAAGCTTTAAGCAGTTTAAAGCAAGGTAGTCAGTCTGTTACAGAGTACTATGGAAACCTAATTGCTTATGGATGAATTAGACAATTATTAGCCACTGCAACACTGTACCTGCACACCAAACAGCCGAGAAACATGTGTGGCCATGAGGGTTGTGTTTGCTTACAAGGAAACTAACTATGTTATCCAGTTTCTAAGAGGTCTTAAGGAGAACTTTTCAAGTGTGAGATCTCAAGTTCTGTTTGGTGATGAGTTACCACCCATTGATAGAGTCTTTCAGAGGATGCTCCAGCATGAAAGACAGCTGGTTGGCACACAACAAAACAAAGTTCTTGCTGTTGAAAGTATGGCTTTAGCAGCACAGAACAACAACATTTCACAAATCAGGAGGCCTCGACCTTACTGTACCTATTGCAAGTTCTTGGGAGACACAGAAGAAACCTGCTACCACAAGCATGGCTGGCCACCTGGAATGAACAACAAGACATCAAATCCTGCTGGGAGGAACATGGAGTGCACCTTCTGCAAGAAACAAGGACACACTGAAGACAAATGTTTCAGTAAGCATGGTTATCCAAACCAGAGAGGACCTCAAAGGGCCAGACCTCAAGCACATGCTGCTGCTAATACAAACTCAGAGGATTTAACTCAAGAGATCAAACTGACCAAGGCAGACTACATCAAGCTCATGTCCCTGATGAGTGACAAGGGATCTCAGAAGGCTTCCACCCGCAACAGTCCATCTTTTTCAGCTGCAAGTTTCATTACCACACCAGCTGGACCCTCAGGTAAAATTCTGCTCAATGTGAGCCATAAATCACCTCATGATCAGACCTGGATCCTTGACACTGGTGCCTCGGATCACATTGTGTGTTCCTTGGACCTCCTGACTGATCATAGAAGGATACACAATACCTTTATCACCTTGCCTACAGGAGATCAAATTCAGGCAACTCATATGGGAACAGTTACCTGTATTGCTGACTTGACCTTACAAGGAGTCTTGTTTGTTCCACAGTTCAGCTTCAATTTGGTCTCTGTTAGCAAGCTAACCAGGAACAAATCCCTTTGCTTGACCTTTTTCTCTGATGTCTGCTTGATCCAGGATATGCAGCTGAGGAGGATGACTAGTTCTGCTAAGCTATCCCATGGCCTTTACCACTTAGAGCAACCTGTAGTTACCAGTCAACCTAAACATTTCTCTGCTGCCACTTCTCAAGATTTTGATGTTTGGCACTTTAGATTAGGTCATGTTTCACATTCTACAGTGCCACTTTTGAAAAACCTTCGTCCAGATATAGATACCAACAGTTCTATACCCTGTGATACTTGTCATTTTGCTAGGCAGAAGAGCTTACCTTTTCCTTTAAGCACTTATGTTGCTCAATAGTCTTTTGAACTGATTCATGTTGACATCTGGGGTCCAAACCCTATACCCAGTTATGATGGATTCAAGTACTTTTTAACAATTTGATGATTTTACTCGAATGACTTGGTTGATTTTACTTCCAGCCAAGTCTGATGCCACACCAAAGCTTCAAGCTTTCTGTTCTTATGTTGAAAGACAGTTTCAAACAACTGTTAAGAAAATCAGAAGTGATCAAGGTAGAGAATTTGAAATGACTAAGTTTTTCAATAGAACTGGGATTCTACATGAGCTGTCTTGTGTTGAGACACCTCAACAGAATAGTAGAGTAGAAAGAAAACATCAGCATATCCTTGTTGTTGCCAGGGCACTCAAATTTCAAGCTAATCTATCCCCTTCTTTTTGGAGTGATTGTGTCAAGCATTCAGTTTTTCTCATCAACAGGGTTCCTACAATTGTTCTGGGGAACCAAACCCCCTTTCAAAAGCTTTATAACAAACCACCAGACTTATCAGACCTTAAGGTCTTTGGATGCCTATGCTTTGCTAGCACATTAGCTAATCACAGAGGCAAGTTTGACTCTAGAGCTAGAAAATGTGTATTTCTTGGTTTTCAACCTGGGACGAAGGGTTATAAGATATAAGTTTAATACACTTGTACATCCAAAACTTTCACGGTTGTGCCAATAATATTCAAATTTCCCGGAATACCACTTATATCCATGTTTTAAAGTTGTTCTTTGCCAAATCTATCCATTTTCCAATATATTTTTGGTTAAATACACTTGTATATCCAAAAACACCGTTAAAGAATGTGAAGGAATTGGATATAAGTGGTATTTCGGGAAATTTGGATATTATTGGCACAATCGTGAAAGTTTTGGATATACAAGTGCATTTAACCTAAGATATATGACCTCACTCATGATATTTTTGTCTCTAGAGATGTGCAGTTCTATGAAAATGTATTCCCATTTAAAGACCAAAACCAAAACCAGAACCAGACCTCTCCCTATGCCAATCCAATTGACCCTACCATTTTTGATGATTTTAGTCCTACCTATCAACAACCTTCAACCAATCCAGAACCCTTCCTCAATGATCTTCACTTTGATTCAGGAGATGAAAACTCCCCTCCTGATTCTCCCACAGAATCTCCACCACCTTCCCCTCCACCACCTTTCCCTACCAGAAAATCCAACAGAACTAAAAGACCGCCTACTCACCTTCAACAATACCATTGCAACCTGCTTCATCAGCTTTCTTCCACCAGTCATCCAAGTCAGCAGCAGACTCCAGGTATCACCTACCCCCTATCTTCTGTCTTGGATTATTCTACTCTCTCACACAACCATCAGAATTTTGTGTTGAACATTTCTTCTCACAAAGAACCACAAACTTACAAAGAGGCCTGTCAGTATCCTGAATGGAATGAAGCAATGCCAGTTGAAACTACTGCCCTTGAGGCCAATCAGACTTGGGATGTTGTTGAACTCCCTCCTGGTAAAAGACCAGTAGGTAACAAGTGGGTTTACAAAAACAAGCATCTTTCTGATGGAAGTTTAGAAAGACAAAAAGCTAGGCTTGTTGCTAAGGGTTACAGCCAACAGGAAGGAGTTGATTATCAAGACACATTTGCTCCAGTGGTTAAAATGACAACCATTCGTCTCTTTCTAGCCATTGCTGCTGCTCAGGATTGGCATGTTCACCAACTAGATGTGAACAATGCCTTCCTTCATGGTGATCTAGACCAGGAAGTATACATGATGCTTCCCCCTGGTTACAATCCTCCACCTGGCTTCAAAAACCCTGTGTGCCGCCTAAAAAAGTCTATCTATGGTCTCAAACAGGCATCACGCCAGTGGTTCACTAAGCTTGCTGATAAGCTACAGTCTCAGGGCTATATGCCTAGCAAGGTTGATCATTCACTTTTCTACAAATCATCAGGTTCCTCCTATACCTGTATCTTAATTTATGTTGATGATTTGGTCATTGGAGGCAACAATTTAGCAGACATTCATCAGCTCAAGTCTTTCCTTCATCAAACATTCAGTATAAAAGACTTAGGCAAACTCAAATTCTTTCTGGGAATTGAAGTTGCAAGAAGCAGCAAAGGCATTCACATTTCACAGAGAAAATATACACTTGAAATCCTTGATGAAGTTGATCTCATTCATTCCAGACCTGCTACTACACCTGTGGACTACAAGGTTCATCTATCTGTTGAACACAATGATCCCTATCATGATCCTGAAGAGTACAGGAAATTGGTTGGAAAATTGATCTACCTCATCACCACTCGCCCTGACATCAGCTATGCTACACAACAAGTCAGTCAATACATGGTTAATCCAAACAATGATCACTTCAAAGCAGTTGTTCGAATCCTTCGTTACCTGAAGACTGCGCCTTCCAGTGGCCTGTTCTTCTCTGCTGATTCTCCTCTTCATTTGAAAGCCTTCATCGATTCCGACTGGGCTGCCTGTGTTGATACAAGGCGCTCTGTCACTGGATACTGCGTCTATCTTGGTGATTCTCTTGTCTCGTGGAAGAGCAAGAAGCAAACCACCATTTCCCGATCTTCTTGCGAGGCTGAATATCGTGCTCTGGCTTACACCACCTGTGAGCTCCAATGGCTGCTTTACTTGCTTCAAGATTTTCAGATTTCTAATCCACAGCCTGCAACCCTCTACTGTGACAACCAGTCCGCGATCTACATCGCCGAAAATCCAACTTTTCATGAACGGACAAAGCACATCGAGCTCGACTGTCACTTTGTCCGCGAAAAGCTACTCAATCGCACCATCAAAGTACTCCATGTCTCTTCAAGTCATCAATTGACTGACCTCTTCACCAAAGCTCTCTCCCCAGCACCTTTCTCCTTCATGCTCTCCAAGCTCGACGTCCTCAAACTTGTTAAAACTTCTCTTTTCCTTTTTCGGCTGTACTTGCTTTTCTTCCAAGCCTTGTCTTCTTACCTTGTTTTGTAAGGTTTCTGTACTGATTCACCAGCTATATAAGCTGTGAAATGAAATGAGAAAGGCAGGGCTTTAGGATTTGCTTGATCCATAACGTTGTTACCCACCTTCAGACGGGATGACAAGGAACACATCACACAAATATTACCACCTATTATTTATTTTTTCCTCAAACTCAAACCTACTATAAGAGGATGATCGAGTAATTATTTTGTTCCAACTTCCAAGGGTTTCCCACTCGTCTTATCGTATGTAGTAGTAGTACAGGTAGATCGAAGATTCCTAAGTTCGGGGGTGTCGCACAAAAGCAATTCCCCAATCAAGAATTAATGGAGAATTTTATGAATGAATATAAGATAATTAAGTATATTACAAAATTAGCAAATGGTACAATCACAACAATTCCTGCCATGTTATATATAAAATAAAATGGATGTTGTTAGAATTCGTCAACTTTGTAATACGGATCGCAATGGGATCTTGTGCTCGTTCACACTCTACCTACCACAATCGATTCATCATGGAATCCTGCTTTTAGTGCCTTTGTATAAATAATGTATTATTAAACGGTTGATTTTCTTGCATTTGCCGGACATTTCCGGGTATCTCCAAGTTTATCATGGTTGATCATTACCCGAAAAAATATTTTGGACATGTCATTAGCAAGTGCCTGTCTTTATCTCATCTGTCTAATCTCTGGTTTGCGAAACCCAAGTCATACCGAATTTGTTTCTACTTTTTTTTCTTATGAAGGGAATTTGTTTCTACTTTCTAGTACGATTATGATCCGATCGTTCTGTATTGATAAAATATCACGTTTTGAAATAATATTTTTTTTTTCAAAAAATTGTGCTGGAAAAAATAGGCTACCGAACCTAAGTAATACAAACTATATAGGAATAAAATTGTAAATAATTTTCACATTAATTCACATTTGTCTTATTTGTTATTATATTGAAGATTTAGATCATTTCAACAAGTCAGATGATTAAAACAATAATTATATTATGTACAGATCAAGAATATATATGCGAAATCGAATATTACTAACATACAATTTATCTAAAATTAAATGGTCTAAACTAATACCCCAAAAATGGGGAAATAGAATCAACCAATGCTCTACTGTTCAAAATAAAGATTTAGACAAATGGAATTTTTCTGAAAAAACCCAATTAAGTCAGTATGAAAAACAAAAAAAATTGGGATCAGACCCATTAACGAACGAAAAAGATAATTTGAAAAAACACTTTAGATATAATCTTTTATCATATAAATTTTTAGTATTTTTTTTATGTTTATATAGTTTAGATTTTTAGATGGAAGACTATATATTAACTTCAACTTTTCGAAGGAATTATTGAAAACATAATGAGGTCGTTATCTCAGAAAGTATTTTTTTGAATCTTAGATAATAAAATATTTTACGAGTACAATGTACGATAATATTACACAAAATAACACTGGAATATGAAGAAGCATAAATCGACGATAGGAGGGTGCAAGCTAACCGTTGGACTTGGGGGTTTTGTTCACAGAACGACTGAAGAACAGAGAAGTGACGAGTAGCCATCGTTGCTGAATGTAACACAAATATACATATTACATATAGAGGTGCCACATCATTATGTTAATATGAGCTAGCTAGCATGTGTTTTTACACAACGGATGCAACAATTTCTACATGAATCTTCCATCAGATCATGCTAATTACAACTAGCTAGCAAGCTAAGCATCAAGTACTCCATGAATATTCCACCACTACCGAAAGTTTCATAACACAGGCATAAAAATAAACTATTGGATTATACATACAGCTATATATCCACAACTATCAGGTTTGCGACAAATATATCAACAACTATCGAAATACACAAAATATCCAAAAATCGGAAGGTTGTGTGACAAATCTATCCACTTCCGTCTAAAACTATAACGACGTGTCAGACGGCATTAAATTAACTAACGGAATGCTGAATCGATGCCATCTCACCTGCCACATAAGCCAAAAAGCAACCAAACCTTACACGTAGATGCCAAATAGGCTAGTTGAATAAAGACAAAATACAACTGTATATCCACAACTATCAGGTTTGTGTCAAATATATCCACCACTATCAGGTTTGTAAAAAATATATCCACAACTATCAAAATACACGAAATATCCATTTCCGTCCACTAGTCCGTTAACTCCGTTAGTTAACTTAGTTGGCGTGTTTCTGACCCCACTGAATGACGTGAATTAAAAGAGAAAATAATTTAAAAAACCTAAAAACATCAGACGGCGAGACTAAAAATCCAACATAGAAACACGCCCGATAACCACTGATCCTCCTCCGATCGACGCTTCCACCCCCAAATAACCCTACCCCAAGCCCAGATTTCGATTCCAACCACAATCCCCAATCGTTGCCTCCCTTTTACTCCGACGGCTTCCATGCATTCGGCGCCATGGTGATACCAAGCTTGAATCTCAAACAAAAAAAGCTTGAATATAACCAAATCGCAAACAGAGAAGACTGCAGCAGCGAGGTCTAACAGATAACGGTGTAAAGTTCGGTTGCCTTTTGGCTTATGTGGCAAGTGAGATGGCATCGATTCAACACATTTCGTTAGTCAATTTAACTCAATCTGACATGCCGTTATAGTTTCAGACGAAAATGGACAGATTTGTCACACAACCTTCCTATTTTTGGATATTTCGTGTTTTTAATAGTTGTAGATATATTTGTCACAAATCTGATAGTTGTGGATATAAAAATTGATGGCGGGAGTTTGTGTTAGTTGTCAATTACCATGACAAAAATAGAATAGTAGTATATGGTAGGCTAATTAATAGGAGTAAGTGGGATCTCCACTACTCTTATACTGAAAATGCACCTGCATGCGTACGTTAGCTTCTTGCTAAATTGGTGATTGATACTGCTGTTATAGCTAACACCCATTGTACTACTCTAGACTATATATAGGACGACTCCTTAGCTTGAAGTTCTCCAACACCTTCAAACTTTCCCTCCAAACTCCTTAGCTTCGAAGATGGAATCCAACACAACGACGTCGTATGTGCCATTGTTTTACTGTGTAATACTGGCAGCAGTCGCACTCAGAGGATTGTCTGCAGCAACAAACGGACAAGAACTGGCGTCCAATTACTACGACCTAACCTGCCCTAAAGCTCTCTCTGCGATCCGGAGCTCAGTCCTCGGCGCCGTCCATAAAGACCGCCGGATGGGAGCCTCTCTGCTTCGGCTGCACTTCCACGACTGCTTTGTCACTGCAAGTTTTTTACTTACTTACTTACTTACTGTACAAGCTAGCTAGCTAGCCACGATCTTGTGCTTGATCTTTGTACGTCGCGCGCGGAAAGTTGGTTTCCGGCCTGATCGATTTTTTTTTTTCGTTTGTGTGTGTAGGGTTGTGACGGGTCTGTTTTGCTGGACGACACGCCGAGTTTCAGAGGGGAGAAGACGGCGGGACCTAATGATAATTCTCTGAGAGGGTTTGAAGTGATTGATGCGGTTAAGTCCCAAATGGACTCACTTTGCCCGGGGGTTGTCTCTTGTGCTGATATCGTCGCCGTTGCTGCCAGAGATTCTGTTGTTGCAGTGAGTACAATTCACAACCGAATATTGGTTAAATGTTAACTTTTGTTAGAAATATTGATTTGATAACATTATAATGAGTTGAAAGAGATATGTGTCAATCAACATTCTAAAGTTTTAATATTTTATCTAAAAAAGTTACAAAATTATTAATTATAACGTACGAATGGCTAATACTTTGATGTATTACAAAAATTTTCGTTAATATTTTGTATTTCGAAAAGTTTGAAAAGATCATTTAGATAATGAATTCTTTATCCTAAAATAAATGGTTGATAGTGGTTTTCAATTCCTCGGACTTCCGTTGACTCTGCAGTTGGGTGGCCCATCGTGGACGGTCCAACTAGGAAGAAAAGACTCAACGACGGCGGACTACGCCGCCGCCAACACCGACCTCCCGTCACCCTTTATGGACCTTCCGGCCCTCATCTCCTCCTTCTCCGACAAGGGTTTCACGGCCAAACAATTGGTCGCCCTCTCCGGGGCCCACACCATCGGCCACGCCACGTGTCGCGTCTTCCGAGACCGGATCCACAAAAACGCCTCCTCGGACATCGACGCCTCCTTCGCCGACTCTCTCAAATCCGGCTGCCCCCCGCTGGCCGGCAGCAACGACACCAACCTCTCTCCGCTCGACGCGGCCTCCCCTGCCTTCTTCGACAACGCTTACTTCACCAACCTACTCGCCAACCAGGGCCTCCTGCACTCCGACCAGCAGTTGTTCGGCGGCGCATCCACCGATGCACACGTGGCGGATTATGCCAAGCGTCCGCGTGCTTTCCACGCGGATTTTGCGGCCGCCATGGTGAAAATGGGGAGCCTTGGGGTGATCACAGGGACGGACGGTGAGGTGCGTGCAAACTGCCGGAAAATCAACGGGTGATCGGTGTTTTTTTTTTATGATTACTTAATTATGCGTAATTAGTTTGTACCAGTAAAGTGTAATGATGGAGAAATAAAAATGTCAAAAGTGGCATATATTAATGTATCCTGTAACATCCGACGTTTGAATTTATGTTCAGCCCATAATCGAATTATGGTTTGAGTCATGAATTAATACGTGAATTTTCTAGTAAGTATATAATGGAATGGAAAATCTAATCTCATCCAAAGTAGTCAAGATTGGCTGGCGTATATTGGAGGAGCCTCAGTCTCTTTTAACCCAAGTTTATAAGGGTAAGTACTTCCCATGTGAGCACTTCCTCAATGCAAAGGCTAGGTTTCGCCCACCTTGGGGTTGGCAAAGCATCTTGTATGGGCGGAATTTGTTGGAAATGGGCCTTAGATGGCAGATTGGAAATGGGCAATCGACGTCTCTGCTTCGGTCCCAATGGATTCCTCAGATGCAGCTTGATCCTCCGCGGTATAATCCGATGGTTCTACCGGAGGGGGGTGATCCTGATGTGGCTGATGTGATTTGTCATGGGGAGGGGCGTTGGTGTGATCTCAAACTCAGTCAGTGGTTTGATCCACCGACTTGCCGTATTATAAAAACTATTCCCCTACCCCGGCAGAACCTTGAGGATAAACTGATTTGGCACAATACTCGGGATCGGGTGTTCTCGGTCAAGTCAGCCTACCATCTGGCCGTCTCCCTTGATAAGAGAAAGGGTCGGTGGAAGGCGTCGGCTAGTTGGATGGATAGATCCAGTTGGATTCGTTTGTGGGAGGCGAATATTCCCCCGAAGCTAAAGGTCTTTGTTTGGCAAATTCTGAATCGAATCCTCCCCACCACAGAGGCCCTTATTGATCGTAAGGTCCCTATCCTTCCTCGTTGTCCTGTCTGTTGGGGTGGCCCGGAAACCATGGAGTATCTGTTTCTGGATTGTCCTGTTGCGCGTGCGCTTTGGGGTTACGCAGGGCTCGAATACTTAGGGGAGGGGTTGCCTCGGCATACTTTCCCTCTGTTTCTTAAGCGTTTGCTGGCCTTATTCAGCAGCCGACGCTCCTCATGGCAGTTGTCTCGGTCCTTTGGCGCATCTGGAGGTCTAGAAATTGGGTGGAGTTTGAAGGAAAGCAGTTTGGGTTCCCCGCTTTGATGAGACAGTTTTCCCAGCAGTATGAGGAATGGGTGGGGCTGCCGACGGATGCGCCCTCCATGCCTTCCCCCCCGGTGAGCTCACCACCGGGTGTGTTGGGCCAGGCTGCTGGGGTTGTTTGTCTGTGGGATAGGGCTACCAGGAAGGGATCACATTCAGTAGGTGGTATGGTTCTTCGGTCTCCGTCTGGGGATGTGCTTATGGCTAATGGGATCGAGTTCCCGGGGATTGATGACCCAGCCGTGGTGGAGTTGCTTGTGCTTCGGGAGGCTATTGCGTGGTGTTTAGGCCAGGGCTTCACGGGGATGAGGTTTGAAGGAGATGCCAAGGTCATCATTGATAAAATCAACTGTAAGGATGCTAGTGATAGCCGGATGGGTGCTGTTTTGGAAGAAGTTTTACAATATTTTGGTAGCAGCCCTGGGTTTAGTGTGCGATTTGTAGGTCGGCGTAGTAATAGGGTAGCCCATTTGGTGGCTAGAAAAGCCCTCTCTTTGTACCCGACTACGAGTCGTTTCTTTGATTTTCGGGCCTGGCTGGGGTGCAGGATGTAACTATCTAAGTTTTGGTATCAATATATGATTATCTTTTGTCAAAAAAAAAAAAGTTTCATTGACAACGTGTTTGACTAGAGGTGGCAATTGGATTAGATACATGGATTGGTGGATTGAATTGGTGTATCCATGGATCAAGTAGATTGGGTCAAATTGATTCATGGATTCATGTTTTGGATCCAGTGGATTGGTCCATGAATCCAAATGACATCCAAGTCTTTGCCAATATGTAAATTTTGAAAGGTTTGGATATTAAAATGTCATGATAAAAATTTTTGGTACCAAAATGTAATATTCCAATATTATTTTTCGTATAATATTCCAATATTGGTTCCATGGGTCGATCCATGAATCCACCAATCCAATTGGATTTGGATCAAACGGATTGGATTTAAATGAATTGGATTAGTTGGATATTTTAGTGGATGGATTGGATTGGTGGATTGGATTGAAAATTGCTACCTCTATGTTTAATCCACTTAACTATATCGTGTCTGGGCTACTAATTTTTTTATCGAGTTTGATTTGTGTTGGTTTGGTTTGGTTAAAATTCAATCCGCTTTTCACCCAACTCACATCTCGAAAAAAAAAAAACAACGTCCTTTTGCATTGAACTCTAATACTATGAATAATTTATCAATATTAATCTTATTAGTCTTTACAACTATATAATCATAGAACGAATTTTGATAATATAAGAATGTGGGTGTACAGAAAAATTATTCGCGGCTATGTTATTAAACCAATATATGTACCCACGTCCTCGTCGATAGAGTATACTTGCCGGGTTGGATTTTCTCTTTCAAAACACATTTGTAGTAATTTGTTTATGGAAATGGGAAAAAAGGAGTTATGCATATGTATAACTAGTACTGAGATATGGATGGGAAAGACAAAGAGTGATGAATACACTTACATGAAAGGAGAAGGATGATGAAGGCAGCAACCATAACTCCATCGACAGGAAATCACTAATCAGCAACCAACTTGCGAATGGGCATTGCCATGGCGGAATAATATGAGAATTATTAGTTGATGCTTTTAAGTGTTTTAATTTGAATGAAGCTCAGATGTTTTGTCAGTTGGATATCCTTATATATATATAGGTAATTTTTTTTATAGATATATACGTACTTAGTTTAACTTGTAGTAAAGAATTTAGAAAGAGTCCTGATCTGACCAATTTGATTTGCATAGGTAAGTTCTCCATAAGACGATCTTCTTAGTGTCGCTAGATTAAATTCAAGTGTTTCGTGTATTGCTCTTATCTTATATGCCGAATGCTATTTATTATTATTATTATTATTATTATTATTATTATTATTATTATTATTAATATTAATATTTGGAGGTTTTGGGCTTCTAATTGCGATATAGCATGCAGTTAGCCGGAAGTAGTAACGTCCGATCGGCAGCATCAACATTTCTAGGTATTTCTAGGCATCCGTTAGGCACCAAGCAGGACAAATATTTGCATAATTTATACGCACAAGGATAACTTTTTCACAGTTGGTCACCAGTAGCGATTCTTGAAGACGCTTACATTTCTAATCTTTTGGATGTTTCAGATTGAAAAAAAAAATTACATGGAGATTGGACACTGGGAAATATGTTTAGTCCCTCCTGACAAGACTATCATAGGATTAGGATATACAACTCGGAATACATAACCAAGTTCAACCCAGATGGTAATGTTGAAAAGTACAAAAATGGATTAGTAGCAAAAGATTGCACACAGTTGTTAATTTTCGGGACAAATTTTCTCTTGTGACTAAGATGAATTCACTAAAATTTCTGTTAGAAGAGGCAATGATGGATCCAAGAATTTCATCAAAGGTATTCAACAATAAATCAAAATTGCTAATAATTGTCAAATTGTCTCAAATTCAAATATTACCATGAGGAAAATAGAATTTTACGCAAGGGTTGTCAATTAACAAATGATGCCACTCGGGTCTGGCCCTAAGTAGCAGCTTTAGATGCAAAAGACTACACACAGGCTTTTGGTTTTAATTCTAGTTAAAACTGTTGTTAGCAAAAGACTACACATCGAGAAAAGGGAGCTGTAGATCTTTCTGCAGTTTGTCTTCGCCTTTTCAGATTTCGTCATCCTCCTCCTTGCTTTACCCTTTTGATGGTGGTATTTCGGAGAAGTCGAGGCGCCTATTGGTCGGCCTTTCGGATACATGTTTGAGGAGCTTGAAGACAGGGTACAGTTCTTTCCTTGTTAATCTCTGGTCACTTTATTGTTGCAGGCTCCGTCTCGTTCTTCGGAGGGGTTGTTCAGTGACCTTGGGAAGTTGGGTCTCGTCATTCTTCTTCTTGCGGTTCCTGGTTTGTGCTACTCCATCTGTGCTCTTGATGCGGCTACGGCGATGGACCAGAGGAGATGTGTAAAATTCGATGAAACGGAATGAAAAGATGAACACAACACGCGATTTACGTGGTTTCCCCGTTCGATGTGAACGGGACTACTCCACGGAGAGCTTGAGGCTCTCGGGCTGAAATCTTATCTCCTCTTTTCTGTTTCTTCGTATCAGCTGCTGCCCTAGCCGAGGGTTTTAAACTAAAACAACCCTAGCTCTCCTAAAACACATGCAACGTGGAGAGAGGGTAAATTACAACATGATCCCTAATTTTAATGGACAGTAAATTAGAGATCACTACACTCCCCCTCAAGCGAAGGAGTGAATGTCAAGAAGTCCGAGCTTGACGAAGAGATGATGCAACTGATCAACACTCAATCCCTTCGTGAACAAGTCAGCCGGTTGGTCCGAGGTAGAAATCTTGGCAGGGGCAATCTCAAGGGATTGAACACGCTCCCGAACAAAGTGGCAATCCATCTCAACATGTTTGGTGCGCTCGTGGAAGACCGGGTTGGCAGCAATGTGAAGCGCGACCTGATTATCACAGTATAACAAGGTGGGACCGGAGGATGGGACACCAAGATAACGGAGTAACCAGCGAAGCCATATAAGCTCACTAATAGTACTGGCCATCGCTCGGTACTCGGCTTCAGTAGAAGAGTGAGCAACAATAGTCTGCTTCTTTGTCCGCCAAGAAATGGGTGAACCGCCAAGGGTGATGAAGAAGCCTGTTGTGGAACGGCGAGAGGTAGGACACCCACCCCAATCAGCATCGCAAAAACTGTCAACGTTAAAGGGTAAGTGGCCGAGAGAAAAAGTCCACGACCGGGAGACCCTTTGAGATAACGAAGGATGCGAACTGCGGCATCCTCGTGAGCCTGAGTAGGGGACTGCATAGCCTGGATGAGAAGGTTGACGACATAAACGATATCGGGTCGAGTAACTGTCAAATACAGTAGGCGACCAACAAGGCGTCTATAGGCCTCGGGATCACGTGTCGGGGGGAAGGATCGGCCCTAAACGGTGCTGCTGCTCAATCGGAGTCGAGCAAGGACGAGCTTCCATTAAACCGACATCAGTGAGAATATCCAACACGTACTTTCGCTGATTTAGAACCATCCCCTTCGGAGAACGAGTACCCTCTATCCCAAGGAAGTACTTGAGAGGCCCCATGTCCTTGATAGTAAACCGATCGTGAAGGAAGGTTTTAACCTGCTGAATAAAAGAGAGATCGTTGCCAGTGAGAATCACATCATCAACATAAATGAGTGCCACAAAAAATGTATCTCCACGCCGGTAAGTGAACAGAGCGTGATCAACCCGACTCAATACAAACTGAAATTCAAATAATGCCTAAACTTTTGATACCAATTCCTAGAGGCTTGCTGCAATCCATAAAGAGACTTGTTCAATCGGCATATTCTAGTGTCACAGGACGGGAAAAACCCTGTGGAATCTTCATATAGACCTCTTCTTGCAAATCGCCATGAAGGAAGGCGTTATTAACTTCAAGCTGATCAATGTGTCACCCCCGATTAAGAGCAACAGCAAGGAGGCATCGAACAGTGACCAACTTGGCAACCGGTGCATAAGTATCATGAAAGTCCACCCCTTCTATTTGGGTGAACCCTTTAGCAACAAGACGCGCTTTGTAGCGCTCAACGGAGCCATCCGGGTTGAACTTAATCTTGTAACCCACTTACAGTAAATAGCCTTCTTTCCTGGAAGGTGATAAACCAAAGTCCAGGTGCCATTGGCCTCGAGAGCGGTGATTTCAACTTGCATGGCATCGTACAATTGCTTGTAACGGACGACCTAGAAAAGTACCTTGGCTCATCAATAGCCGTGATTTCCGCGACAAACGCATGATGGGCAGCCGAGAGACTATGATAACTAAGGTAATCATCCAAATGATAGGTCGTGGTAGCGTAATGAGTAGCGCCAGGTAATTGAATATCATAGCCAGCGAGCCGAGTGGAGGGATATCGCCTCGATCACCGCGGCGAGGTGGGGGAGGCTCCCGGTAGGTGACGAGGCAGCAGCGTCCGTGGGTGATGAGGCAACAGCATCCGTGGTCGGCGGGGATCCGACAAGAGGGGACAGAGGGGAGTTGGCCTCCTCGGAAGACCCATAAGCTATATCAGCAGCAGAAGAAGACTCGGCTTCCGCCGATGAAGTGGGAACCAGCTGCGGCTGGGAGTAAGCAACATCATGATCGCCAGGATGCGAATTCATAAAGAAAGGAGCGGATACAATAGCTGGATCAAGCTTGGAGGCATCAAGATCATGGAAGGGATAGACATTCTCGAGAAATCTGACGTCACGGGAAGTGTAGACTTGCTTCTTCTCAAGATCATACACTCTATAACCACGTTGACCAGAAGGATAACCTATAAAAACATCTGCTCTCCTCCTCTCGCCAAACTTATGGAGACCCTAGTGATTGTTCCGAGCATAAACTAGGCACCCGAAGCTGCGCAGATGACTGTACGTGAGGTCCTAGCCAAACAAGACATGAAATGACATTTTATTCCCAATGGAAGTCAACGACATTCGGTTAATTAAATAAGCTGCTGTGAGAATGCACTCTCCCCAAAATTAGATAGGCAGATTCGCATGGAATCGTAGTGCTCGCGCAGTTTCCAGTAAATGACGGTGCTTGCACTCTACAACTCCATTATGCTGAGGAGTAGCTGTGCAAGTAGTTTGTAAAACGATGCCATTTTCTTCATAATAGGCCACCAACGAATTACTGGAGAATTCGGGGCCATTATCTGCCTATATGCGCCGTACCTGACCCCCAAACTGCGTCGCAATCATATTGCAAAAGTATAGTAAATAACGGCCAATGTCCGACTTATACTTCATAAAAAATACGCAGACTGCACGACTGTAATCGTCAACAATTGTCAAGAAATACTGAGCTCCAGAAGTTGAAGTTGTTCTATGACTTCCCCAAATATCCACACGGATAAGTTCAAAACACGACGTGGACTTGATAGTACTAGGAATAAAAACATCTCTAGTCTGCTAAGCACACAAACAAGACCGACAGGGTTCTTCAGTGTGAATAAAAGAACAACCAAGAGAATGCTGTAATAAATTCATCTTCACCAAGGATGGATGACCGAGCCAAGAATGCCACATCCAGGAACCATCAATCGACCATTGCACGGTGTTTGCCATGGGGTGTGCACTGTCAAACAATCGGATATAGTAGAGGCCATCCACGTGCTTACCCATCCCAATCAGCTTCTTCGAGAGTAAGTCCTGGATTACACAGAAGTCACGCAAGAATATCAATGCTACAGGTAGGTCCGCTGTAAGCCTGCTAACCGAGAGGAGATTGCACTCGAAGGCGGGTACATGTAGAACCCGACGTAATATTAAATCATTCTACAGCTGTGTCGAACCAATACTGTGTACTTTAACCCCTGTACCATTGGAAATTTTCACCTGCAATGTTGGAGAGGCATCCAACTCGGCATCCAATACACAAAATGTCATTGACTATATGCTCATTGCAACCGGAATCTATAACCCATGTCGCTAGTTTATCAGAGTGGGGAGAAGACGTACCAGCCATGTTTGAGGACGGCTCGATCGAAGCCGAGGCAGGATGGGCCAAATCGGAACCCAAGAGAGCTTTGAGAGCGACAAATTGCGCCGCTGTGAGTCTTTGGAGTGGGCTTGCAGTCGCGTTGACTTGGGCTGCTTGCGGCATCAGACAAGGAGCTCGATCACCACGCGAAGAAGCATCTGGCCGAGGAGACCCGCGTGGAGGATAACCCCGAGCTGGTAGCAGGTTTCCTTAGAATGCCTGCATCGTCGGCAATGTGAACAGCGGGGCCTGTCATCCGCTTCACGGTTGGGCCGAGGAGATGGGCGATCTGAGCGCTATTGACGACGCTCCCCCTGAGCCTGGAAGGCTGCGGCCTCAGGCCTAGGCCGACGACTACTGGAAAGTTGTCGCTGCTGTGCGTCATTCATTACCAACTGATACGCTTCTCCAAGGCTGGGTATCGGCTTCATTGACAATATTTGTGACTTGACTGTTGAAAAAGCATTATCTAGACCCATGAGAAAGTCAAAAAGTCTTTCACTCTCAAGTACCTCACGCTGCCGACATTTTACATCGCATGTACAGCCAGAGCACGTGCATTCAAATGTGGGTGTGAGGGATTGAATCTCGTCCCACAACCCGGGTAGCTTCGTGTAAAAGGCTGAAACCGACGCCTTTTCTTGTTGGAGCGAGATGATCGTTCCCTTCAGCTCATAAAAGCGCGGCGCACTACTTTGGCCAAATCGGGATTGCAAATCGACCCAAATTTCCCTTGTTGTGGCCGCGAAATGGACGCTGCTATGAACTTCTTTTGTCATGGAGGCTTTGAGCCATCCCTTGACCATCGCGTTACACTGTCTTAACGCCTCAGTTTCAGCCTGAGATTGGGCCGCAGGAAGACTTCCATCCACGAAACGCAGTTTGTTCTTGGCGATGAGCGAATCGGTAAAACCCACCACCCACTCGCCATAGTTTACGTCACTAAGCAGCTCACTCACATAGATGTGGCTGGGGCTGTCAGATTGGTGAAGGAGAAGGTGCGGCGGCAGCGCCATTGATGAGGAGGCCGCCGATTTCAACTTGGACTCCGAGGATTTGGAACTCTCGTCGTCGGACATGTTGTAGAACTAGGGCAGATCAGACCAGCTCTGATACCATGTAAAATTCGATGAAACGGAATGAAAAGATGAACACAACACGCGATTTACGTGGTTTCCCCGTTCGATGTGAACGAGACTACTCCACGGAGAGCTTGAGGCTCTCAGGCTGAAATCTTATTTCCTCTTTTCTGTTTCTTCGTTTCGGCTGCTGTCCTAGCCGAGGGTTTTAAACTAAAACAACCCTAGCTCTCCTTAAACACATGCAACGTGGAGAGAGGGTAAATTACAACATTATCCCTAATTTTAACGGACATTAAATTAGAGATCACTACAAGATGGATGAAGGTTGGAGTTAGGCTGGGTAGGGTTTGCTAGGGCTTAATGTTTTGTTGGGCTTTGTCTTTCCTTATGTTAGGCTTTTAGTTTCCCTTTGTATGCACACTTGGGCCTTTGATTTCACCAATGGAACTCAAGTTTAACAGGTAAAAAAAAAAAAAAGACTACACATCACGTCCAAACGATATATATAAGAACACAAAATTGCTCAGAAGGGACAATGTTGGCCGATGTGGATCCTTGGGTAAAGTAAACACTGCATGAGAATATTATTGCCTCACTTTGATGCTGGAACGGCAGCATTCAACGGATGAAGAATAACTTGCAGGAAAGAGTGTTTTATTCGACCATCTACGATATATCAATATATTGTGATTAAATCACATGATATTCGAGCCTTGCGAAATTCAAGTTCATGGGTCTGTTTTTGTTTGACGAGGCTTGTAAGAAAAAAAATTAGATCCATATTAGATCATCCCGCTACAAATTGAGTTATTGTGAATAAAATATAAATTGGTTCTTCACAATCTGATTTGGCAACAAACAAAAATGGCACACCCATAGTATTTTAAATATGATAATAGCAAAATATTTTATTCCACTAATCACAAAAAAAAACTAAAGTGGTTAATGACATTGTCTGAAGTAGTTGTTGAGATCAAGTGAAAAGATTGATCGATTAGTTAGTCAAAAAGACTAGTGAAATTTCATGAAATAATGTATGTGTTTGACGCGACTTTTCGAAATGTTTTATTTTGCTTTAAAATTTGAATTAGGATAAAAAACTTCTAAAATCCAGATTTTGAAAGTGTTTTTGTATAACTTAAAAGCATATTTTGAAAATATAAGATATCCTTTAGATAATTTTATTTTAAAAACTATAATTCTCTTTCATTATATCATTTTAAAAGTAAAATAAATTACATTTTTTTATTATTTAATATAAAAGAAATATAATAAGATCCACCTATTATTTTTTTTAGAATTTTATTCATATTTTAAACTAAAATATTATTTTAGTCGTTTTACATGTTCTTTTATATTGAAAATCACTTTTCTAAAATTTCCAGCCAGAAACTTATTCTACAAAAGAAGGTAGACCAGGGCCAAACTAGCCCAATAAGTTTAACTAGTTTTTTACACGCCCGTTGGGCAGCGTATTTTGATTGGTTATTTAAATTTTGCTAGTATGTTAAACTATTATACACTGAATTGTTAATCTCACTTACCCAATTTCATGTATTGTTTCACACTTGTATATTTTTCGTTTATTTATAAAAATTTAATTTTATTACATAAGTTCTCTATATAACTTTCTTTAGTGATATATAATTTTGTATCGAATCCACAATTCAAAATGTAAACATAGGGATTATTAAATTTTTAGCGCAAAATAGTGAAAAAATTAAAAGAATTAAAGGTCACAAAAGAAGAAGTTAAAATAAGCAAATATGTTCAATTGATGAAAAATAAACGAAGAACTTTTCATTTCCTTCTTCTGGTATATTGGTATATGATAATAGAGAATATCATGATGTAGACCCCAAGAATATCGTGCAGAATCAGTTGCTCGTGTAATTTGGAAGAATGAGGAAACACATTGGCATCGTTTATTCGTTTAATATACCTTGAAATGTATAGCAAAACCAACCACAAATAGAACTATCAGTTGTCACTAATTTATTAAATGATAGTTTAGTAAACTAAACTACATATAAACATAATTTATATTTTGTAGAGAGCTACATACCCCTGTAAAAAACAATGGTATTTTTTTTACCTGATAACAATATAGACGAATATTAAAAGTTGCATGCTTCAATAAAACTCAACTAACTATAACTTTAGAGTCCCCATTCATGAACCAGATTGATGCTTCAACCCAAATAATAGTCGTTAAGAGAAGAATCAAGCCAAAATCGAATTTTAGTTAGAGATTCAATTAGGCAAAAATCCATGCTAAGGAAACAAACAAATATTATTGCAAACGTGTAGAAATCAAAAGAATATCGACATAGACAACCTAGAGACCACCACCACAACCATTTTATTTCTTCTTAGGAACCTTTATAAAACCTCAAGTATGTTCCATTCTACTTATAAACCCCTGCTACTACTTACTGATCAGATCATCGTCATAGCTAGCTAGTAGCAAGTTACTCATGACCATAATAAACATAATAAACAATTCTCGTAACTCTGCGTTCCATTTCAACGTCCAAGTAATCGGGTTGCAA